TTTCTGATGGCCCAGCTTTTATTTTTGAACCTTAACGTAAAATTGATACTATCCACCAAGTTGCTTTGCATTTATGAAGAGGCCACTTTCATAAAGGCTTCTTTAGAGAAGATGCACACTGCTCTCTTCCATCTTTTATTTTACTCAGAAATGCCAACCTGACCCCTCAAACAGATTCCTACAGCTAGTTTTTACAGGCAGCTGCTTTTTTTCTTCAGCACACTCAAATTTTAGACCCCAACCTGCTGCCAACCCTCAACATTTTTTCTTAGTCTCCATGTGCTCTGGCAGACAAAATTTCCACTGAAGGTGGAGTGGCAGTGGTGGTACCCTGGTCAAGGTGCTGGATGCTCTCCACAATCGGTGGGCCAAAAACTGGGAGTAGGGGCTGGAGTGCCAGAGCTCCTAATGTCCATTCCTGGTAACTCCACCTGCACTGACCTATTTTGTATTTTTCCAGATTAAATTCTCAGAATAGCTCAACTTCTAGGGGAATAAAATGGTCATTTTAGAAAGTGATTCCTGTGGCATCCCTTGGGCGCATGAAAGTCTAAGCCAGAGCTTTTTCCTGGAGACTCTTGCATGAGGTCAGTGTGGAGCAATAGGAACAGTTTATCTGCCCCGTCTTAGATGGCTGTTATAGGATGAACTGAATCTGGAGTGCCTCTTTCTCTCTGATGACCCTAAAGGGAACACAGCTTGAGCAGCTCAGTCTTTAGGAAACCTCCGTGGGGCAGATAAGCCCCACCTCAAGTCTGTATCCATCTGTCACCTGCTGTTTTCTAAAACAGTTGCATTTGGAAGATATCTCCTAAGACATACACCACTGAGAATGGTGGAGTTGTTAATAATTTCTTGTAAAGTTACTATTCCTGTGGAAAAAAAATCCCCCAAGCCCCTAGTGTAGTTCATTCTGCGGTTCGCTGCTGCAAAGCCTCTTTCTAACACAGCAGGTGCAGATGCATGCAGAGTGCAGGACTATCATATTAATAAAATGGAACTGCCTAAGCATATTTCCTCTGAGCTTCTAGAAAGGTCTTGGAGGCAATTCCTCACTTGAAGAACTTCAAATTGTCCATTTGTCAGTATTTAAAAAAATATCCGCACAAACGAGTATTGATGCCTACAGCTTGCAAATAACTTTATGGAGGGTGAGGCAATTTTTTCCAGGATCACTCTTCATATTAATTACTTTAAAAAATGAACATTCAAAGCTATTAGGTCCAGGAACAACTTCATAATATCGGTGGCTGCAAAATGAAAAACGTGCATGCTGGCACATTTGTTCAATCCGTGGTGGCAAGCAGGGACTCTGCTGCTGTTTTATGCGAATTCTAATGAAAGCAATTTATCTCGTTTCCGCCACCCCTAAGCCATTATTTATGAATCAGTCTTCAGATCTCTCGCATAAGGAAGAACAAGTCACTTTTGTACTGGGAACTGATCTCTGATTTGTGTCAGGAAATCAGCAACCAGAAAACAAGCTTATTAACTACCGTTAGAAATGTCATCTAGC